CTGCAATCTTGCTAAGCCGAACTGAAGCCATTGGGGTGGTGATTTCCCAGGCTTGAGCACAGTGCTGGTGCTCTCAGCAGGGCTCACCACTGCTTGGGCACTCTGGTGCTCCTCCCTTGTCATCATGCACGTGGGGTTGTTGTGCAGCTCTCCTGTGTGAATAAAGGGGAGGCCAAAGCTTCACTCCTCTCTAGCCACCTGTGGCAAAACCAGGCGTTAAAGCCCCTCTGAGTAACAAATGACTACAGGGGATGTCACACGACTTCCCTGGTCCTTAGCACCACATTCCACAGCACTTTGGGCAGACTTTGGTGTGCAGGCAAGGCAAGGAGATTGTCTTTATGAGACGACACAACCCTGCAGCCAGGAGGAGAAATTGCAGCCTCTAGATTTGCACTAAAATGGTAAAACTCTGCAGAGGAACAATATTTCAATCCCAACCTATTCCATCATCCCCAGGCTTAGCAGCAGGCCCTGGCAGAGGGGGAAACCACAAGGCTGATTCCCACTTCCCAGCAGGAAATCAAGCAGAAATCACGACCTGCATGCAGAAATGTGTCTTTTATCACTTCAGCCATAAGAAAAATTTGCTGTGAGAAAGAGGCATTGGCACATGTGGATTCTCTCCAGGCCTTTGGGATGTTCCTGTTCCCCCTCTCCATCCCTGCACTGCTGAATGCTCAATCCTATCTCCCCAAATCGGAATCCCTGGACTCCTTTGGGCAGAGAAAAGGTCACAAAGCCCCAGCACTGCCAGCTGCACCCGAGAATGACCAGGCAGCACACAGAGGGTTGTGAGAAACCTTAGGAACATTGAGGGAACCAGGGGTAAAGACAAAGGGATGATACACCTGCAAGTTCCCTCAGGGGCTGACATGAGATGTGGGTTAAAACACAGAGCTTTAAAGAGTTTTAGTTAGGTTTTTGTTGCTCCTTAGCTGTTCCTTTCTTTACTAAAAGCACCTTAACAAGAGAAACTGCTGTGACTGCAAGTTCCCCTGCATAGGTGAATGCTGCATCTCCCCCAGGGCAGAGGGTGGGAAAATTACCTACAACTGTAATTCCAAAAGGGGAAAAAAGAGCATTCCTGTGTGATTATCTCCATGAGCATCAGCTCTGGGCCTGGGCCAAAGCTGGGACCCAGCTCCTGCAGTGTGCTCGAGGAGGGGCCCCTTGCTTTCCAAGGAGCTGCAGCCACACCTTACAACCCCAAGCCTGGTGGGAACCTTGCAGAAACCACCACACAAGGAGCTGGAGTAAAGCAGGAGGTCTGCAAACATGACTAAAGAGAAGGGTCAGGATGGAGCCCAATTAATTATTGCCTCTGCAAACACCAAAGCCAAAAGAAATGCCTAAAGGAATGACAGCAGCAGCTACCTTTGCTCTCCAGAGTGGCCAGAGCAGGCACCCCAGTGGATTTATGAGATTGTGGGGTTATTGGGAAACTATGGGAAGCAGCATCTGGCCCTCAGCCCAGACTGCAAGGGGCTTAAACATGCAGCTGCAATTAGCTCCCAGCCAGAGCAGCAGGCCCAGGATGAGGAATGTGTTAACCCCACTGAGATGTGCCTTGGCTCTGGCCTCTTTCACCACACACCGTGGGGGTCTCTGAGGATTAAAAGGGTTTTCCCATGGTGGAAAAGGCAGGTAGCACATCCCAGGGCATCAAAAAGTTCCCGCACAGCCCTTTGCTCTCTTTGGCATGGTCAGACACGTTTGCAGGGAGGAGGAAAAGGATGTCAGGATTTCCCTCACGTCACCCATGGGGACAGCCCAGCCCAGGCTGCCTGCAGGCAAGGGGCACTGCAGAGAGCAGGGCAAGCAGCAGGACAAAGTGTCAGTGGTCACTTCTGGGGCAGATGGGACCTGTCAGTGGGAGCAGCATTACAGGAGGCAAAGACACTCATCCTCCACCTTCTGGCTGAGCACTCCAGAGCTGTAGAATTCCTCACTGCAGCCACACATGCCTCCAACAGCGAAGTCTCCCTTGAAGTGTCACCCCAAGTATATATCCAGAGCAGGGCACAGGGCCAGAAGCACATACAGGGATTCAAGAAGGCCTTTGGAGTATGGGATCCAGCTGCAAAGAGATTTGCTCACTCCCTGATTCCAAACCTACTCTTTGTCACTGCTCTTCGAGCTGCTTGCAGCTGTTCCAAGACCTGGAGGCAGGATCCTACCTGCTGCCTCCTGGAACGAGACCTTCATCCCAGCTGCCTCCTGCTCTGAGGGTCTCAACATTTCCATCTCCTTCCTCTGGATGCACAAGACACCCAAGATGTATTTTAACTAACACCTTATGTAAGTTTGCAGCAGCTAGTGAGACTTTGGATTCCTCACTGCAGTGTGACCCTCATCAAAAGACCCTTCCTACTCTGCCCAAGCTCTCCACAACTTGACACCACCACAGAACTTCACTCTGGAGGTCCCCAGGCTGCCAAAGTGCCACCCCTCCAAAGACCCCTCAGAGTAATGCTCTGAGGCTGGTGCACAGCACAGGTCTCAGCGGAGGAGTCGACACGGGGCAGCTCGGCCGAGCACGCTGGGGATTGAAGCTGTTCCCACTGAGATGGGATGTGAGCAGAGGTTGTGGCAAGTGGGAGAGCCACCAACAGGGCAGAAGGAGGAGCAAAACACTACAGGGAGCTGCCCCCTGGACGTGGCACCTGCACTGGGAGGAGCTGGGGAGGCTGTGACAGCAGCCAGAAATGTCATCCCTTCCCCGGCTGGGGCACTCGGTGCTTGGCAGGGCAGGCACAGATGCAGGAGCTGAATGGGAGCACTGTCAGCCTGAACTATTTTTAACTGCTGCAGAGGAAGCTTTTGCTTCTCCCCGCGAAGGGAAGGAGTGAGTCGGTGGTGCTGGAGTGTGCACAGCCCCCGGCCCGGTCCGTGCCACCAGCAGCTCTAAGCCCCCAGCCTGCTCACAGCTGCACGGGTCAGGGGGTGCAGCAGCTGAAATGCACTTCTGATACATCTGCTGAGGCTGCCCCAGCTCACCCCGGGGGTTTCTGCCTTGTGCTTTCCATTACAGCTGAGCAGTGAGATGTGCTGCTGGCAGCAACCAGTGCCAGCGCAGTGAGATCCCCGCGCGGGGCTCAGCATGGCTGGAGAAACAGTGCAGAGGCACCACAGGCAGACACTGGCAGGTGGACCTGGGGGTTCCCCCGTGCCCCTTAGCTTC